TACACAATGTTTTTTCCTTCTTGCTCTTCAACAGGCAAGGTCTCAGGGTCTGGGCTTCTCAAGGGGTGAATCGTCAGGCTTCACTCTGACTCCCAGCTCTGATATCTGGCATCTCACAACAATCGGGAGAAATCACTCTTGGTTGACTCTGGAGGAATTTTTCTGACTCAAATAATATCTGCTCCTCGACTTTCGAGGTTCTGAGGTGGAGCACTATGTAGGTCTATGGCCCCTGATGGGATACAAACTTACCATTCAACTTCAACATTCTGTTTCTCTTCACTTCACTTTGTTAAAAGACTCTAAGGATCACCAGTTTCATTGAGGATGAGCTGAATCCATTGTTTGCATGTTGGTTCAGTTTTTACTTCTACATTCCTTGAGGTTGTTGTTGGAGTCTCGAATTTCATCGTCTCCTACAGGGGGGGGGGGTCATAGTTCTGCCCCTATTCGTGAGTACTGACCCACGACATCAGCTCCTTGGTACATTGGTTCTCAGAATAGGTTCTGTCTATATCCAAGGTTTCCACTGCTTAGTTAGATCGCCAGCAGTGTCGGTGATTGTATACCTTCATGAGCTGTAGAGGCTCAATTCCAAGAATTTCTGGACATGTGGTAATCTTCACCATTGGTCCAGAAGCTCTGCAGGTTCTGGGGTCACAATTGGTCATTCAGTTCATATCTTCCCCACAGTTATTCATCCTACCTGTAGGGTTTCCATCTCCCGCAGTTCATCAGGAATTGGAACTTCGTTCTTGGGTTTTCTGAGTCTGTTTGACCTGGGATTAGTAAGAGAGTCAAGCTAGTTCCTCAGAATGTTTATTTCTGTTAGTTGTTGGGCCTATGAAGACAGAAGATTGGTGTCTAGTCATCGATCTTCCTTGTCTATAACAATGCCTAGATTCTCCAAGGTTCAAAAGTTAGTTATTCCTCAATCTGTGTTGATTTATTTACTGGGATTATAGATGTCCATCTTAGTTGTAGTTGGCTCCTATCTACACTTTTCCTTAGCAGTGGAGACCCATCACTGTTGGCATTTGTTGTGCACAAGGGTCAGATACTGCATTTTTGTGTTTTTTCCTTCAGCCTCGCATAGGCTTAACATGGGTTTTGCAGTACCATATGAGTTTTCTCATCCCCCTTCATTCCATCATACTGTACACACACCATTCTATGCACGACTGATTACTGCTGGCAACATCTTGTCAATTGTTAGATCATCACATCCTGCTTCTACTCTCAGATACAACCCAGGGAAGTTTCTATTTTGTAACTGCAACATCTATTCTTGCTCCACTTCAATATGTCATCAGTCTGGGTATTTTTATTTTTCATCTCATCTCTCAGCCCGGCTCAGCTGTCTCCCATCCTACTCAATGCTATAGAATAGGATGCAACACTCTCACCGCTCCTTTTCCCACAGCAAAGATGTTCTTTCTCTTCTGGGAATGTGAGCATCACTCAAACCCTTCATGCCTTTGGGATGAGAACACATCTATTTCCTGGTTTTCTAGTTTCCATAGTCAAGACCATTCTTTGATCTCAAGTGGTTAAGTCAAGATGCTACTACAAACTGAGTTCTTCCACTGCTGCCTTTTCCAAAGTTCCATTCTCTTCATGAATGCCTTGCCTCATGAATGGGGTATGTGTACAGACAGTCAGAAATTCCAGAGTATGCATGGAC